TATATCAAAAAGCAGCAGATTTAGGAGATACATCTGGAATAGACAATTTGGAATATTGTAATCAAAATGGAATTGGGACTGATATTGATGAGAAAAAAAGCATTTAAACTACATCAAAAAGCAGCAGATTTAGGAAATGCATTTGGAATAAATGATTTAAAATATTGTTATAAAATAGAAATTGCCTGGAACTGATGTCAATTATAAAAAAGGCATTTGAATTATATTAAAAATCAGTAGATTTAGAAATATTATAAATAATCTAATATATGTAGTGCTTTAATATATTATGAAATTTTAAAAACATTAATCAAGTAAGTTATTGGTATAAAAAATTTGCATTATAAGGAAACAATATGCTTAAAAGAAATTAAACAAAATAATATACATTATAAGGAAACAATATGCTTAAAAGAAATTAAACAAAATAATATAAAGTTGATTTAAAATGTAATTGTAATACTTTAATTTGAAATTAGAACTATCCATTTATATATCATAAATTAAAATATATTAATAATATAAATTATGGTATATTAAAATTCGCTTGTTTAAATTAAATAACAAAGTAATATTATATAATCGAAATTATGTAAATTACATTTGCATTATTTATCCTATATATATATTTTGTATCTGTTATTCATTTTGCTTATAAGAAAAAATAATAAAGTATTTTAGCTTTTTTTATCTATAGTTTTTATTTGTTATTGAAAAAAAAATTCATTTATTTATTATGTATATTATTTTTCTTATTATACTTTGTTTATATAAACATTTTTAGATTTTTTTTTCAAAGATGGGCTAGGTTTGGTTTATATAAGTTACTTATAATCTGCTAATATTAATAATAATTATAGTTGATAGAGTACGATCACTGGATGGGCATGTATTCATTTTTTTGCATTTTTTCTTAAAATTATATAGAATCAAACTGAACTAGACGGTTCCGTTTCAGTTCCACTTCAGTTCTTGGTTTTACCTAAATTACAAAAAAACTGAACTGACCCGACCTTTAAGTAAATCATTGAATAAAATTATTATAAATAGGCCTTTCCTTTTCAACAGTGATTTCTATCAAAATGAATTTAATCAGATATCAGAAATAAGAAATTACTAATTCCCTTACATTAATCAGTTTATTCTTATCGGATTAATTATTATGTAAAAATTAAATTGGATAGTGGAAACTCTTGTATTTTGAAATAAATAAATTATCAGAGCGAGAACCTCTCACTCTTTGAATATAATATGTAAATCTAAACCAAGCAATGTGTTAACAAAGTTATATATCAGAGAAATTTATTGGCAGCTTTCACTGTGACACAGGCTTCTTCAAATTCAGTATTTGAATCAGAGTTTAAATCTAAATCTAAATCTGATACTAAATCAAATACTGAATATAATACAATATAATAATAATGAATGGTCATTTAGGTTGCACAAATTTTTAAAAAAAGTGATTTTTTGGAAAAAAGAAATTGTTTATTACACTAAAACAATGTACATATATAAAATTTTATTTGTTAAGGTAACACAAATTATACATGCTGCCCAAATTATTTTGGGATGCCATAATTCATTCAGTTTATATATAATTTACTATGTAAAATGCCAAAATAATTTGGAATGCTATAATTGAATTTGGGATTTTACTTATAATTACGGCAGCCCAAAATAATTTGGGTGGCATGTATAACACAAAACTCTTGGTGGATTATCCTTAAATTCTTAATTATATTATAGTATTAATTAGCACATTTTTATTTAACAATGTTTATTTTTATTTTTTATTGTATGTAAAACTGTAAAAATATATGATATAAATATTTCCTATATAATACTAACTGTTAGATTTTTAAATTTTAACTACACATTCCAGCAACTCAGAATTTTGAACAAAACTTTCACTAACATTTTTAGACTTTTCTATTTCTTCAGTAACATTACGACTTATATAGTATGCTTGTGTATGATGAAACTGGATAATAGAAGTATTTGCTTGTTCTTGTCCTAAAGCTTTGTTTGCTTCTACAAATTCCAACATATCATTTTTTAATTGATTATCAATATTAAATACTTCATATTCATAATTTCCATCCCTGTTTATTTCATAATATTCATTAATACACATAATCCATGCAGATATAGTATATTCAAGCATTGCTATAGTTGGTCTATTTAATGGATCTAAATTCCAACATTTTTTCATTAAATCTATATAACATTTTGGAGTATTTTTTGCAATTTCAGGACGTTCACCTTTACAAATACTCAAGATTAGGTGGTGATCATGTGCTTCATTCTTAAATGGGGGAATACCTGATGTAAATTCCCACATTATCATCGAAAAGCTATAAATATCGCTTGCTGGAGTATAGGGTTTTTTTCTTAATATTTCAGGCGCCATGTAAGGTAAAACTCCATAAATTTCATTATTATTGTCAGAATCTTGAAAATCACTTATAGGTTTACATAATCCTAAATCAATAATAAATAACTCATTGTAATTATCCGACATTAAAATATTGCCATCATGAAAATCACCATGGGTTAAACTTGATTCGTGAATTACTTTAAGTCCTAATATAATTTTTTTCAATAATTGTAACTTGTCTTGCCACTTAAATTTAATTATATCAGATAAACATTGTCTCAAATTTCCTCTTTTTGCATAACTCATTACTATCATATAATTTAAATTAATTGGATCTTGAGTAAAACCAAAGAATTGAACAAATTTTGAAAATGATTTTTTCTGACAAATATAATGATATTTCCACTATATAAATAATAAGAAAATTGTTAAATTTTTGAAAAAGAAAATAAAATTTTTTATTAAACATAAATACTATACCTCATCTAGAAATTTATTATTCAAACTTGATGAATTATTAAGTATTTTAAGAATGACTTCATGACCAATCTGTCTATTCCATTGTTGTTTGTCATAATTCCAACTAAAAATGGGTCCATCTAACCAGATAGCTTTATGAATTTCACTAAATCCTCCTTTATCATGATAATTAATATTTGACAATTTATTATAAGGTATCCACTCTAAAATTTCATAACTATTTTTAGCATTTAGTTGCGCTTTTTGAATAAATTTATCAATAAATTCATTTTTACTAGTCCACTTTGAAAAATATTGTTGAAATCGTTTAGTATTACATTGCTGGCACCATTGATAATCAGAATATGATTGTTCACATTCATTACATAATTCAGCTTCATTTTTAGGATTTACTTTATTACTCTCTGCTGCTTTTTGATGCCAATAAAAGGCTTTTTCTAAATTTTTTTCTGTTCCTTCTCCATTTCTATAACTATTGACTAAATTAATCATTGCTGCTTTAATACCATTTTCTGCTGCTTTTTGATTCCAATAAAAGGCTTTTTCTAAATTCTTTACTGTTCCTTCTCCATTTTTATAACATATAGCTAAATTAAACATTGCTCCTTTAACACCTTTTTCTGCTGCTTTTTGATACCAATGAAAAGCTTTTTTTGAATTCTTTTCTTTTCCTTCTCTATAATAATAGCCATTGGCTAAATTAAACATTGCTTCTTCATTCCCATTTTCTGCTGCTTTTTGATACCAATAAAAGGCTTTTTTAAAATTCTTTTCTGTTCCTTCTCCATTATAATAGCCATTGGCTAAATTAAACATTGCTTCTTTAATACCATTTTTTGCTGCTTTTTGATACCAATAAAAGGCTTGTTTTAAATTCTTTTCTATCACTTTTCCATTATAATAGCCATTGGCTAATTTAAACATTGCTTCTTCATCTCCATTTTCTGCTGCCTTTTGATACCAATAAAATGCTTTTTCTAAATTCTTTTCTATTCCTTCTCCATTATTATAACATATAGCTAAATTAAGCATTGCTCCTTTGACACCATTGTCTGCTGCTTTTTGATACCAATGAGAGGCTTTGTTTAAATTCTTTTCTATTCCTTTTCCATTTCTATAACATTTGGCTAATTTAAACATTGCATTAATATGATTTTTTTCTGCTGCTTTTTGATACCAATAAAAGGAATTTTTTTCTGTTTCTTCTTTATTTTCATAACACATAGCTAAATTAAACATTGCTTCTTTAACACCTTTTTCTGCTGCTTTTTGATACCAATAAAAAGATTTTTCTAAATTCTTTTCTGTTCCTTCTTCATTTTCATAACATATAGCTAAATTAAACATTGCTTCTTTAACACCTTTTTCTGCTGCTTTTTGATACCAATGAAAGGCTTTTTCTAAATTCATTTCTATTCCTTCTCCATTATAATAGCCATTGGCTAATTTAAACATTGCATTTATATGTTCTTTTTTCGCTGCTTTTTGAAACCAATAAAGGGCTTTTTCTAAGTTCTTTTCTATTTCTTCTCCATTATAATAGCCATTGGCTAATTTAAACATTGCATCAATAAGATCTTTTTCTGCTGCTTTTTGAAACCAATAAAAGGCTTTTTTTAAATTCTTTTCTGTACCTTTTCCATTATAATAGCCATTGGCTAATTTAAACATTGCTTCTTCATCCCCATCTTCTGCTGCTGCTTTTTGATCCCAATAAAAGGCTTTTTCTAAATTCTTTTCTGTTCCTTCTCCATTATTGTAACATATAACTAAAATAAGCATTGCTTCTTTAACATCATTTTCTGCTGCTTTTTGATACCAATGAAAGGCTTTTTCTAAATTCTTTTCTGTCCTTTCTCCATTATGATAGTTATTGGCTAATTTAAACATTGCTTCTTCATTTCCATTTTCTGCTGCTTTTTGATACCAATAAAAGGCTTTTTCTAAATTCTTTTCTGTTCCTTCTCCATTATTATAACACATGGCTAAATTAAATATTGCTTCTTTATCACTATTTTCTGCTGCTTTTTGATACCAATAAAAAGCTTTTTCTAAATTCTTTTCTGTTCCTTCTCCATTATAATAACTGCAGGCTAAATTAAACATTGCTTCTTCATTTCCATTTTCTGCTGCTTTTTGATATCAATAAAATGCTTTTTCTAAATTTTTTTCTGTTCCTTCTTCATTTCATAACATGTAGCTAAATTAAACATTGCTTCTTTGAAACCATTTTCTGCTGCTTTTTGAAACCAATAAAATGCTTTTTCTAAATTCTTTTCTATTTCTTTTCCATTATAATAGCCATTAGCTAATTTAAACATTGCTTTAATATAACCATTTTCTGCTGCTTTTTGATACCAATAAAAGGTTTTATCAAAATTCTTTTCTGTCCCTTTTCCATTTCTATAGCATATGGCTAAATTAAACATTGCTTCTTTATTACCATTTTCTGCTGCATTTTTAAACCAATAAAAGGCCTTTTTAAAATTCTTTTCTGTTCCTTCTCCATCATAATAATTAATGGCTAATTTAAGCATTGCTTTAATATGACCATTTTCTGCTGCTTTTTGATACCAATGAAAGGCTTTTTTTAAATTCTTTTCTGTTCCTTTTCCATTTCTATAGCATATAGCTAATTTAAACCTTGCTTCTTTATCACCTTTTTCTGCTGATTTTTGATACCAATAAAAGGTTTTTTCTAAATTTTTTTCTGTTCCTTCTCCATTTTTATAACATATAGCTAAATTAAACATTGCTCCTTTAATGCCTTTTTCTGCTGCTTTTTGATACCAATAAAAGGCTTTTTCTAAATTCTTTTCTGTTCCTTCTCCATTATAATAGCCATTAGCTAATTTAAACATTGCTTTAATATGATCTTTTTCTTCTGCTTTTTGATACCAATAAAAGGCTTTTTCTAAATTTTTTTCGATTCCTTCTCCATTATAATAGCCATTGGCTAATTTAAACATTGCATCAACATGATCTTTTTCTGCTGCTTTTTGATACCAATAGAAGGCTTTTTCTAAAGTTTTTTCTGTTCCTTTTCCATTTCTATAACAACTGGCTAATTTAAATATTGCATTGATATGATCTTTTTTTGCTGCTTTTTGATACCAATAAAAGGAATCCTTTTCTGTTTCTTCTTCATTTTCATAACACATAGCTAAATTAAACATTGCCTCTTTAACATTATTTTCTGCTGATTTTTGATACCAATGAATGGCTTTTTCTAAATTCTTTTCTGTTCCTTCTCCATTATAATAACAATTAGCTAATTTAAACATTGCTTTAATATGACCATTTTCTGCTGCTTTTTGAAACCAATGAAAGGCCTTTTTTAAATTTTTTTCTGTTCCTTCTCCATTATTATAACATATAGCTAAATTAAGCATTGCTTCTTTAAAACCATTTTCTGCTGCTTTTTGATACGAATGAAAGGCTTTTTTAAAATTCTTTTTTGTTCCTTCTCCATTATTATAACATATAGCTAAATTAAGTATTGCTTCTTTATCACCATTTTCTACTGATTTTTGATACCAATAAAAGGCTTTTTCTAGATTCTTTTCTGTTCCTTTTCCATTATAATAGCCATTGGCTAAATTAAACATTGCTTCAATATGATCCTTTTCTGCTGCTTTTTGATACCAGTGAAAGGCTTTTTCTAAATTCTTTTCTATTCCTTTGCCATTTTTATAACACATGGCCAAATTAAACATTGCTTCTTTATCACCATTTTATGCTAATTTTTCAATAGATTTATTAAATAATAAATGATTTTTGGTGTTTACTGTATTGGTATTTTCATTTGAGATATTTGATTTACTAATTTTGGTTCCCATTTTGGTTATTTTAGGAATTTATTTACTGAATAAATAATTTTTCAGACGAATTTTTTTTAGACAATTTATTTTTATTTAATATATCATGAATGAGTTATTAAAAAAAATAGTTCAACCAGAAGTAAACTTACAACAATTTTTTTGGAATAAAATAAAGTAAATAAATAAAAAAAATGTAGCCTTATTAATGTCATGTAAGTAGAGGTATATAATATTTGATGCAGGTAGTGGTTACAGTTACAAGATTGTCACAGTACACACTGGTCGGATTATACATTACATTTAATTGGTACATGCATATATGATGCAAATGTAATTACTGTTACAAGATCGTCACAGGTACAATTCAATTTGTAACTAACGGTAATTAGTATTGTACCTCAACTTATTTATTTTGTTGTCATTAAATTGTTTTTGTAGTAAAAGAAGTTTATTGATTTATGCTTTATTTAAAGTTATAAACTATAAATTATAGTATTAAGCTATGTGCTTCATTTTTTAACATTAAATTTAAGGTTTACATAAAAAATATAAATTTTTATAAATAAAATAGTTATTTAAATAAACATTTTTTTTTTTCAGCTCATGTTACTAAATGTAACTTCTGGCGCATGTTACCAAATGCAACTTGCGCAAGTTTCTGACATATGTTATAATTTTCTGGCGCATGTTAGACACTGTAATGCCGTAATATACCTAGTAAATTTATTAATCATAAGGCGCAGTATCATATTTAGAATTAGTGTATAAATTTTTAGTAGTTTAAAATTGTATTTTAATTTGTCCGAAATGACGTTAAACTAATAGATCATTTTAGAGAATTGTCAAATGATTATTAGAAGAGGTGATTAATTTGCAGATCATGACGAAAATCTATAATTAGGATAATTTACAAATAAGGGAATGGTTTTGAAGATCGAAAATGAGGAAAAATGAAAATTTCAAAAACATGAAAAGTAGCAAGTACTAATACTTGCTGAATTTCAGATTTTTGCCGCAAAACATAGTGGAAAAAGATGCGTACCCAGTGGCACCGAGCGATCACGTGACCAATTTTGTCGATCATTCCCAAAATGGTAAGCAGATTTAACGAAAAAATAAAAAAAATAAGAATAAAACACAATATAAATGCCATACATTTTTTAAACTTACATGGTATGTGTATTTTGAACGCTCTACAAATTTACCTAGAAGAGAAAAATACGTTTTAAATATAAATTTTTGACTTTTTATATGATAATTCGTAAATAATTAATTTTACAAAAATCTGTATTCAAAACCTACCTTTATTGCCCAAGTAAACTTGCAGAGCAAGCAAATTTAGATATAGTGTATGAATTTTAAAATTAGAAAATGTCTGTAGTAAGTTTTATTCAAAAAAAATAATAACAATAAATTTTTTCGTTAAATCTGCTTACCATTTTTGGGAATGACGTGATCGCTAAATTTTTGTCGGTGCCACTTGGGTAGTTCACCAAACATAGGTTAGAGAGGCGCAGCAGATTTCTTTAGGATAAATGTTTAACCGAACTCTTATAAATAGCAGCTAATTTTGATAAATATTTAGCCATTACTTAATATTGTTAAACTAAGCATATTATTGTATTTATTTATATTATTAATAAAGTATTATTTTGTTAAGTATAACGAGCTTAGGTCTTACAACATTCACTCAGAGCACCCGACGGGTGACCGGAAAAATTCGGGTCTGGTAGCAAATTTTACGGGTCATGACACGATCATGTGGCCAATCTGGCCAATCAAAAAGGGGATCCTTAACCTGTACCCCGGGTATACGATATTATTCTGTTCCCCTTTTTCTTAAATATGATTGGCTCAAATTGTAGCCACAAATTTCGTGTAACTTTATCTTAGAAAATATTTTATTTCGCGAAAAAAAATGAACGAAAAAAACAAGAGCGAAAAAAATTTAATTACACATATAACAAGAAGGAAAATTTTTTTATAATACTTAATATATTTTATTCAGCTTTTTCAGTTTAATAATTTTATTTTGTATTTTATTAAACTTTAATAAAAAAACACAAAATTTTCATAAAACTTGTATATACACAGTAAATTACTAAATTTTATTACAAAAAATGTTGGTCAACTCTATGAATACTAACTCAGACATAACGTAAATTAATATTTAAATACTTTTATATTCATTAAACAATTGTACTTATTCAAAATTAGTTATGTTTGGCCAAGATGTTTAAATTACGCGACAAAGTATCTGTATAAAATATAACAAAAAAAAATAAATATAACTTCATAAATATTCGCACTTAACTTGATAAAATTAAATACTTAATAGTTAATAGTCCCATATCTGCAGAACAACTTTATTTAACCCTTAAGTACGCGTTTACTTTGGATAAGCTGTTGTAATTATATTAATAAAGTTAAAAACAAGCGCGCACCGTAATTTTTACTATAGAAACTCTTATAAACCTCAAGTAATTTGATAAATTTAAATTAATCATCTGTCAAACGATTTCATAGAAATGAGAAAAAGTGAAAGAAAAAGAGAGAAGAGAGCGTGTATACAGTTTATTGTTGAAGCGTAAACGATGAACAAATAAAATCAGTGTGTGACGTAAGGGGGAACAGGATAAGTAACGTATACCCCTAGGAACAGGTTAAGATTCCTCTTTTCACGGATGAGAATCATTTGACCATTATATGGTTTACCTTCAAAGAAGTTTTATCACTAGATATCTCTCCCATAAATATTAAAAATATCACTCTTTTTATTTAATTCGTAACCTTGATTACTAAAACTTTTTGAGTCAACATAAGACATTACTCCAAATAATTTTGTTGAAGATTGGAAGTTAGATGATCCTTCAATTCTTTTTGATAAGTGATAACCCAAAATCAGCCAATTTGATCATATTATGATGAACCAATACATTTTTGGAATGCTATTTAATATTAATTATATTTTAATAAATTTATTAATTATGCAAACGATATAAGAATAATTCCTTCGTTAAAGTATGTAAGCATAATATAGCACGAGCCAGCTGTAACGCCAGAGTAAATTTATTATTCTAAGTAAGATTATCAAATTTTTCTTTCAAATACTCTCGAAGATTACCATTATCGGCATATTCCATTACTTTTTTTGAATTATCATTTCGATTTTTCTTCTAAAAAAAAAATTATTTATGGTTACACTCAAATTAAATTTAAAAAAAATATATATATATTGTAATATTGAACCTATTGCAATGCCAAAGAAACGAAACGAATAATATTCTCATAAAAATCCACTTCCCGTTGAATTTTAAGCTAAAAGCATTAAATAGAATTTTTTAAGTATATAAATTATAAAGTAAAAAATATATCATATAATATACCTCATTAACAATTTCTTTAGTTGTAGCATTGTCGTAATTAAAAAAAGTTTTTAATGCTAAATAAGTATGAGAATTTTCCAATTTGTATGGTAAACTTTTCCGAAACCTCCAGAGCCAATTTTTGTGAAATTACTAAAATAATAATTATAACCATAATATTTAAAATAATCTTTCGTAATAGCTTATCATTATCTGAATTTTCAGTAAATTTTACAGGTTTAGTGTTACTAACTAAACATTGTTGAGTTTTCTTAATTTATTGAAGAAGTTTATTCAAAAGTTTGAAGCGTTTTAATGACTGATACTATAAAGCGTAATTGTACATGGAAGTTAAAGTTAAGCATGGCGCAGGACATTTATAAAAAAAAAATTGATTAATATGAAGAGGAAAAAAATTATTCCGTGTCATAAATTAATAATTTCGATATTTGACGATGATTTCAGACAGAATGTGATGCTATAATAATAAATATACAGTACTTATTATTTGACAAATGCAAAATTAATACACTGGCCTACAATAAATGTTCGGATTTTTTTTTTATTTATAAAATTTACATGTAAAATTCATAATTTTGTGTACATATAAAAAATTTTTTTGTACTTATTAATTGACAAATAAATTTTATTATATTAAAATATAAAATATAAAGTAATTATATTAAAAATATTATCACGAAAAAATTAATATTTGGTATGGCCACCTTTGGTCTTAATTACTGCTTTAACCCGATTAGGCATACTCAAAATTAGGCGTTGACATGTTTCAATAGTGATTTTTTGCCACTCGTCTTGTATTACCTCAATTAACTCCTGTTTATACCTGGGTACAGGCTTTCTTTTTCGAACCTGACTATCCAAATGGTTCCACAGGTTCTCAATCGGGTTAAGATCAGGGCTTTGCGCCACCCAATCTAAAATTGGAATGTTATGTGTTCTCATCTACCAAACGGTGTAAGTTGAAGTATGACATGATGTTCCGTCTTGCTGAAAAATAGAGTTGGGATAATTGTCAACCCATGGGATGAAATGGTTAGCCAGAATATTAACGTATTCATCAGAATCCATATTCCCTTCTACCACGATCAAAGGTCTAACCCCATGCCAACCGAAACACCCCAAAACATTACCGATCCCCCTCCAAACTTATCTGTAGATTGAATACAATCTTTATTGTACGTTTCTCTTGTACTTCTCCATACTCTTGCTCGACCATCTGATTGAAAAAGAGCGAACCTTGATTCTTCTGACCATACCATTTGTTTCCACTCTTCTGCCCAATTTTTTTTATCTTTACACCATTTCAAGCGGTCAGTTCGATGTTTTTCGGTTAAACGAGGCTTTTTTTTTGCAGTGTAACTTCCTAGACCTTCATCATGAAGGTATCTTCTGACTGTATTATAGTGGAAAGTTGTGTCAAGACTGGTATTAAACTTGTCTGTTACATCACCTAGAGGAGAAAACTGGTCAGTTCGTATGATACGTTTTAAAGCTCGGGTATTGCATTTTTTGAGCGTTTTTGGTCTTCCAGGACGTTGCTTTGATTCTGTAGAACCTGTTTCTTTATACTTTTTTACAATATCACATACGGTACTCTCTGGTATATTAAGTTGAACGGAAATGACTCTTTGCTTAGTACTAGTAAAATAGGCGCCGATAATTTGTTCCCGGTTAGCTTTTGAAACTTGTTTTCCAGGCATTGAAAACTAGAAGAAGAGTGAAAAATAATATTTTTGTTATCTCCTTTATTTATATGTACGATAGGGAGAAATCACCGATCGTAACACAGGGATGCAAATTTACGTGATGAAAATCCGAACATTTATTGTAGGCCAGTGTAGTAGAATGTGACTATAACGGGAGTGACTATAGAGGGAGTTGACTGTATATATAAGTACCCGATANCCTTCATCATGAAGGTATCTTCTGACTGTATTATAGTGGAAAGTTGTGTCAAGACTGGTATTAAACTTGTCTGTTACATCACCTAGAGGAGAAAACCGGTCAGTTCGTATGATACGTTTTAAAGCTCGGGTATCGCGTTTTTTGAGCGTTTTTGGTCTTCCAGGACGTTGCTTAGGTTCTGTAGAACCTGTTTCTTTATACTTTTTTACAATATCACATACGGTACTCTCTGGTATATTAAGTTAAACGGAAATGACTCTTTGCTTAGTACCAGTAATATAGGCGCCGATAATTCGTTCCCGGTTAGCTTTTGAAACTTGTTTTCCAGGCATTGAGAACTAGAAGAGGAGTGAAAAATAATATTTTTGTTATCTCCTTTATTTATATGTACGATAGGGAGAAATCGCCGATCGTAACACAGGGATGCAAATTCACGTGATGAAAATCCGAACATTTATTATAGGCCAGTGTATGAACCCTTATATTTACAGTTATTGCTTCCATTAACAGTTAAAACCATCTGCAATCACGTGACTATTAATTTTTTGCACAGGTAGGTTATGCTCGTAATTGTGTTTTTTGTTTCCTATATATGGAATGGTTCGCTTTGCACAAAAGGTATGCAACGGCCTGACACCAAGTCCTGTCTAACCAAAAGAAGAGTGCGAATGACCATGAAACGATAAAATTGAATAGATCCACATCCAATGATAAATATGCAATTTTATTTATTGTTAAACATTTAATAAAAGAAAATTGGAATGATCGACATTAACAAGGAGATTTTATTCCGGATGCGCCTCACCCCTCTTAAAATAAATATGTAAGACGTTATTATGCACATTTCTCTGTCTCCATTAAAAAAATTTATTGTTAATGATGGTGAATAGAATACTATTTATTTAATTCCTTACTTAATTTATATTATAACTTAACTTTCGTTTTCATTTCTTGTAGTATCAAAATCTTGCCGTATCATATGGTATTAATGCTGATGATATTCTTAAAAACCCTACTAAAACAATACTTGTAAAATGTATTAAACTAATAAACGATAAAGAAGGGAAAGAAATTTTAAAAATAAGCGGGAAAAAGAGAGATGAATTAAAGAACATGTTATGTGACTTCCTAGAACTTACGTCCTTTGTTGAAGTAGACCCGCGCCAGATTCTATATTCCCAATGCTGCATAAAACCAAACTTCACGCCTAAGAAAAGGGGCGAAGTGGGTAGAAGAGTCGAAGATACTATTACAAGTCTCGTGAATGGCAGAACGTCACCAAAAGAAATTAAACCTATTCGCGTGTGGACTTGTTCAAACGGCAAGAAACACTCCTTAGATAATCGACGACTCTATGCATTTAAAGAAGCCATTAAACTTGGGGCTGCAATAGATACAGTCACTGTTGAAGATGCGAATAAAAGAAAAAATCTGTTAAAAGAACTTAAGTGGAAAATGAAGCATTATCCTTCCAAAGATTGGTCGACAATTGAAATAAAGGAAAATTGTAACAAAAAGTAATTATCCCTTAAGTTTTAATTAATCACTACTAAGAAAGTCTGACGTTGGATAAAAAAAAAAAAAAAAAAAAAAATCTTTCAAATTAGTTAGGACGTACAAATTTCTCATTTTTTAAAAACAATAAATATTTATGGTAAAGAAATAAACTTATTTATAGTATCGATCGACAGTTACGCATCGATATGGATTCGTAAGCAGTTACCCAATTTGTCACATGATACCATATTATAAGCAATTTTTTAAGACATTTATTCTAGGTCCAGAGATATATACTGTATAATATGTAGGAATAAATTTACTAACCGTAGTTATATGATTTGGCGGTGTAGGGTTTCGACTCGCGTATAATACTATTCAAATTTAGATTGAGTAGAAAATCCCTGCATTCAAACGCCCATTCTGACCCTATATTTCCTATATTGATAAATTTTCGGAAATTTGATCTCTAGATAATTTTTTTTATTAGTCCGAAGTGTAAAGAAGGACTATATACTTAATACTTCTACACTTGATGATACCGTTGTTCGTCAATTCTATGTTTCTTGGCACCACTTCGGATTTAATACCGGGTTCAGTTTTGTCTCTTCAATTTTAGAAATTATGCATCATCTTATATATTTAAATAACAAAATATTGGTTCAGATAAAAGATGTAAATATCCATGTTTTTAATTTTAGGCTATAATTCTGGTCAATATATTGTTAGTTCCGTCTGAATTTTTGACTAAAAAAACTAACCAATTTAATTAGTTTGACGTGGTTTTGTATAACATTTTCGATTTACTCTTTTTTTGCGTCATACTATTTAAACCTTGAAGTTAATATTATTTAACACAAAATATGATGACGATGGTTCAATTAAATAAAATTGAGCATTTTTTTTTGCATTTTTTGATTAACATTATTTTTTGGCTTATTAGTTATTACAAAAGATTTCAATAATTTCAACAAACTAATAAGTATTAATTAACATCTACAATATAGTAATATTTTTGTAAATCCCAATTAATAAAATTTGTGCGCCCATGAGCCGGTAACATGTCAAAAAGTAAAATATTGGCGCATAAATGGCATAAGATCTTCAAAATTTTGCGAAACCTGAATTAAATAAATTTTCTGAAACATTAATTATAAACAAATATTGTAATGACGCATATTATTTAATTTCACAAATAAACCGTTAAAGATACCTCACTCAAAATAACGAGATAATCTTTATTTCATTTAACGTCGACAGATTATTTTTTCCGTTCCCATATGATTAATACCAATTATCTAGATACTTTAGAATAAGTAACAAGTAGAGTCTTTTTTTAATTGGTATTATTAGGTTTGAATTCGAACTCATCATTGAATAAAAATAAATAAATTGCTGTTTCAACTTTTTTTCTGGAATCTAGGTTTTAAAAAATGGGGACTGGTCTATCCAATTTATTTTTAGATATGCATAATGCAATGACATAATTATACAAAATATGTCTGCAACTTTTTCCTTCGTTATACAGTAATTAGATAATACTGTAGATGCGTTCTGTACATGATAATATTTTTATATGGATAATATTTGAATAATTAATTTAAAATAAGATTTTTAAATTATTATGGTCTTAATATGGTTGTCAAATATATTAATAAATTTAAATTTTAAAAAATGAGAAACTAGACAATAAATGACGTTCTAAAATAATTCAAATTTTGTTTATAATTTTTTTTTTTACAATCGAAAATAATATGGTGTTAAAAGCTTTCAAGTAATGCAGTAATTAGGTAACGTAACAAGAGATCATTTCTTTGGTAACAGGAGTAATATGTACAGTAGATCAACCATTGTTTTGGATAATTTACCACCATTGTTTGGGTCCTTGACCGTTAATTAAAATTTATTAAAATATTCTATTATTATTCTATTGAAAAGAAACCTGAAACTCAATCATGGCTGGACACTTTAATATCTTCATTGAGAAAAAAAGAAAAAAAAAATCTATAAATAATTTACGAATATTTTAACTGACATTCTATTATTAACTATTTATTATTACGAATTGCAGACGAAACAAACGAACGAACAAAAAAAAAAAAAAAATATGCACGAATTCATGTGCATTAAACACATTTATTCACCAATAATATTTTGCAAAAAAAAAAAAAAAATTTTTTTTTCGAACCATAATCGGAAGTCTTCAATTGAAAAAAACAAATGTGCATTAATTACATTATGCATTGTTTTGCATGACAGGCTCAAATCATTAATTAAGAATATTTCAATACAATTGTATTTTTTAGGACGGTGAATTAATAACCTTTGACAAATATATAAGAAGCGACAATTTTGCTTCACTTCTTTAACAGAAAAAAAAAGATAATATTATCAATAAAAATAACAAATTAATTTTCTTCAATAAACTTTTTTTCTAAAAAACAAAAGCAAAAATGATTTCAAGAAAATTATTCTTTTTTGCTATGGTCACATTATTTTGTATGATCTTTATAGAATTATCTCAAACCGCTCCATTGATTAAACGTCAAGTGGGTAAAGTTGCTTTCGCTGATTTTGAAGGTAAAGTTACAGGCCGATTCACCTGGACTAATATACCTGAAGAGAAATGTCGAGTTATTGGACAATTTAATACTGGTCTTGATAGTCCGGATATTGGAGATTACAAACTTTGTATAGAAGATGTTGATGGTAAAGTCATACAGGATCTTACCGATGAGTTTAGAAGGGAGGTCACAATCAACCCACCTGGCAGTTCACCTTTTGAAGTAGATTTCCCTTCAATGACTGTTGAGGATGTTGTTGGAGACAACCTTGTGCTTAAATTTAAGGAATATAAAATTGGCGAAGCCAAAATTAAAAGTGTTTAAACTTAGATTATTATTTTATTTTATTTTATAATATTATAGTGCTTATTTGAAGTATGTAATTTATTCCTTAATTTATCACATTTTTTTTATAAACAACGTAATAATTAGATATTGTAATTTTTTCAATATTTCGTTAAATAATAAAGTAATCTCCATAAATATTCATATTTTGATCAATTAATTTTATATTTTCCCGATGCGGATAGTACTTTTTGAAATCTGTAATGTGTACTTGAATCAATTAACGCGTGCATCATTCATATAAAATCCGTCATACTAATTTAAATAATGAAATTAATGATAGAGTACTCCTCACTGCAGGACTGCTGATTGGTTCGCTGAATTTTATTTGTGGAGAACATTCCGGTGATAATCATATCATCGCTCTGCGTCTGTTGCGTTATCGTCTGTCTGAGAGGACTATCTTTGGAGACATCCTTTTTGTAAAATCCCTTGCATCATGTTTTTTCCCTAAAATCGGTCACATGCGTACTTCAGCTGCGACGTACTTTACCGGTTTAGTGTAGATACAGTAAATAACGCCATATTAAAATTCAATGAAAGATTTTTGATCGTCTATTAAAGTTCCTAGACAATCAATTATATATTTTTTAATTCTAATATGGAATTTTCCACAAAAAAAATTAATTTTTTATGTTTGTATGTTACATGAATACAGTCTGTATATGATTTTTTTTTTTGCTGAAAGTATCGTACTACGAGATAATAGTGAAACATCTAAAAAAAATTTGAAACGATTTCAACTTTTGTGCATAAAATTTGTTTGATACATATGAATTTATGAATTCGTTCTTTGAAAATGCACACATTTTTTTTTTATCCCTTTGATTGTTACTGTAACCTCCTTAAATTTAATAATAGATTATGTAATTTAAAAATGTTAGTTATAATTGAAGTAGATTATTTATAGATTTTTGTTTTTTTCACATTGTAAAATATTGTTGCGATTAAATTAAATTTTTTTTTTTAACGAACTTAAAATTATCACGTGCATGATTTTTAATTGGTGGTTAAATTTTTATGCACTTTGTGATTTTTCTCGCCTAAGACATGAAATCAAGTTAAAGTATCAAAACATCATAAAATTTATGGACTTACTTGTGATGGAAATACAGTAAATGAGTAAATGGTATTTGATTACTAAATGGGCCGAATATGATAATTATGTGAATTATATACAAATGATAAAAGTTGATTCTATCTTAGAATAAAATTATGTATATCTCTTGATATTGCTCGCGGATTAAATTTTTTAAAAGCCGTTAAGGTAATTCTCTATAACCAACTTAATTAAACGAAACTTTTATTTAATTAACCTTTTTATTTTTCTTTTTAGATTGTTAATCGTGAGGTATTTACAATTAAACGCGTGGTCCTTTTTCTCAGAGATAGTTTTAAAAGCGAATCCTTCATATTTATTTTGATAGTTTTAGTGATGTGCCTGAAGGATATTATTAATTTTTGTTCGATTTTGAGAAGTTTCGTTCATAAAATTTTCCATTGTATAATATTCATTTTTAACTTTTACTTGAGAAAAACTGATTACTTAAGTTTTTGAGGCGGGGTTCAATCTCTTTTGTATAGTCACCAATGTCTTCTACGTAAACACTGTCAGCACTCAGCACTAATACACACCACCATTTCTTGTATATACTATCCCTATAAAAAATTTTTCAGAAAAATGATCAACGTGTCTGAGTTTCTTCGGAATAAAAACTGAAAAATGACCATTTATCGGAGTTTTTTCCATAATTTTTTCTATAGGGTATAATTATTAAATACAACATAATTAATTTCATACTTAAATAAATGTATAATAAAACTCAATTTTTTTAATCTTACTTTAAATAAATCATTTCGGTGTCTATTATTGAATCTTTACACGCAGTTATATGGATCCGCTTTTACAGTAATTGTCCAAGCTCATCAGCAATTTTAACATCAATAGAAAAAGGTATTAACACAATTGTCAAATTCTTTACATAATTCTTTAAAAGCTTCCTCAATACTTTTTCGTTTTAATTTTTATATCAAAGATTTCGTTTGAGAAATTTTAAATATAAATTTTTTTAACTTGTGTTATAATATCACATAAATCTTGTAAACATGATTTGTTTTATTAAAAAAGATTTTCGTTATTTTCTTTTTTTCTCAACATGAACTCGTTTTTTAATATCGGTTTCAAAAGTTCGTTATTATGTTCAGAAATTTCTACTAATTCGATGATTTCGTTAAAAATTTTCCAATATAATTAATTAAAGTAAGAAATTTTGCAAATGGAACAACCATTGAAACACTAACATTTAAATTTTCAGCGAAATCATCTTTTTTAATCATCATGTCCCACTTCTAGTAATTTAATCGAAAAAAAAGAAAAATAAATCCACGTACAATAATTACAATGTACATGTTACAAAAATATTTCTAATAATTTTGGATTTTATAATAGCAAGTAAATGAAGTAGATACGTCTTTTATTAGATCTTTTTTCGTTACACTTAAAGTATTACATCTGGATAACGGAAATGTATGAACTCATATTACACAAATTGATGACCTATCACTATCAGTTCCTTGCTATTATTAACATTCGCTAATTAACCTGTTAATTGCAATAAGTCTATGAGTAAGTCTATGTATGTAACTTTTTATACCGGTTTATACTTGGATGGAAAAAACCAGAAGTAACGCGTGATAGAGTAACAAAATAGACAGTACGTAACTTGAGAATATTAAGCGAATGCATAATGTAGCGTTAAAATTAAATAATCTATTAGTTAAATAAAAATGAAAGTATATAACAAATAAAAAAAATTTTCTTTAAATAACTTACTTATTTATTAAATTATTATAAGTTATGTGTTTTAGAAAATGTAATAGCAGGTTCATAATCACTATAAGCAGCTAATTTCATATAATATTTAGCTTTTTCTATATCTTTTGTACAACCAATACCATTATAATACATATTTCCAACGTTATACATTGCTACTTTATGACCATCTTCAGCAGCTTTTTCGAAATATTTAAGAGCTTCTGATACATTCTTTTCAACACCTTTACCATTATATAAACAATCTCCATATCTTACTTTTGCATCAGGTAATTCATCTGCTTCATCATCAGCTACCTCTTTAAATAATTCGGCAACAATTTTATCTTTATTTGGAGGACTCTTAACCAATCCTCCTGAAATATAAAATGCTTTGTAATATTTTGCTTTGATTTGATTACTACGGGTTGTTATACTTGTTTTATCCAAGTCTGCATAGGTTTCAAAACATTCATATGCAGTTTTTACATCTCCAGTAAGTTTACCATATTTATACATCTTATGTTGTTTTGCTGCATCAGCGAGTGTCATGTATTTTAATGATGACAAATTAATAGGAGGGGCATATGAATCTTGATCAATGTTGTATGTTCGTTTTGGAGTAGACTTTAGTGCGGAGGGTTTTTTGCTTAAGTTTGAACTACTAGAACCTGATGAATGATCTTTGACGCAATTTCTAAGAACTTCAAACATTTTTGTAATTTTTGGCCTAAAATCTGGGTCCTGATCAACGGCTAAAAAAAATATGTAAAAAAAAAGAAATTAATTAAGTATAATAAATTATATTTTAAATATTTTACATACCTTCAATTTCTAATTGTTTGAATTCCTCTGGCATTTGATTATTCTCAGAAAATGGTTCTCTATATAATTTATTACGTACTTTATCAGCTATTTCCTGAATATCATTAATATCTTGATACGGAGTTTTTTCTTCAGCAATTTCCCAAAGTAAAATTCCAAAACTATAAACCTCACATTTATAATCATATTTATTTGGAAGCTTTTCTAACAATTCAGGTGCACAATAACGAGCTCGTTCTAAATTTTTGCTTTTAGCAACTGAGAAACGATTTAATTTAAAATTTGCAAGTTTTGCTGTCTTATCAAATGTAATTAATATATTCTCAGCCCTAATATCACGATGAAGAATCTAAAAAGAAAAAAAAAAAAAAGAATTAAATAAAAAGTTTCGTTTAGTTAAAAGGTTGGTTATAAAAATTACCTCAACAGTTCTTAAAAAATTTAATCCACGGGCAATATCAAGAGACATACGTAATTTTAATCTAAGGTCGAATAGTTTTTTAAAATGTGTATAAAATTCACGTAAATTACCATATTCGGCCCATTCAGTTACCAAATACCACTTATTTTCATCACGAGTAAATCCATAATATTTTATGATATTTTGACAATCATGAAGTTCTTTAAGAATTGTAACTTGGTTTTGTATAATCTTTTCGTCCTTTTTCCCAAGGATAATCTTAAACGCGAATTCTTCATAATTTTTTATGTTATACCATTTAATCACACGTCCATTTTTACGTGGTTTATCCTGAATATAATCAGATAATTTTAGTGGATGTACCTGAAAGATACTATCAATTTTTGTTTGATAGTTCATAAAATTTTCCATTGTATTATTCATTGCATTAACCATCACAACTGTTGAAAAAAACTGATTACTTAAGTTTTTGTCAATCTCTTTTGTATCATCACCAATATCTTTTACGTCAGCACTAATACCAACCATCATTTCTTGTAAATACTATAATTATTAAATTATAACATAATTAATTTTATATTCACATAAATGTATAATAAAACTCAATTTCTTTTAATCTTACTTTAAATAAATCATCTTGATCCGCTTTTAATTGTTCAAACTCATCAGTAATTTTAATTTCAATAGAAAAAGATAATACGTTAACACAATCATCCAATTCTTTACATAATTCTTTAAAAGTTTTTTCAATACTTTTAGCTTTAATATATTTTATTAAAGATTTCATTTGAGAAATTTCTAATATAAATTTTTTAATTCGTGTTATAATATCAAATAAATCTTGTAAATGTATATAATTTATACTGTTAAAAAAATCTTTTCTATCCTCTCTTTCTCCTCTAAGATCTTGTATGGCTGATTCTACAATACGAACTCGTTTTTGTAATATTTTACAAGTTCGTTTGTTATATTCAGCAGCTTCTACTAATTCGATGATTTCGTTATAAGAATTAACAATATCATTAATTAAAGGAAGAAATTTTGCAAATGGAACACTATAATTTAAATTTTCAGCGAAATCATCTTTTTTATTCTTTTTTGATTCAACATCTCCCATTCCTACTTCATACAACTCTGTGCTTTTCCATCCAAAAGCATCTTCTAATTCGCCTAAAATGTCACCCAAATACGTTAATTCTGTTACATGCGATGCTGGGGTTCTAACATTCATACGAGAGAGGGCAGAAAACACTATATAAGCACGAGACTCATGCTGGATAAGATCATCAAAAGATGGTTTATCCAATGCGATCCATGTATGAATATCATTTGCATGAAGACGGTCCATGGCATACGTTGTCTGCATATACCAAATTTCCATGAGCCAATATAACTCTTTCATTCGGAAGTCTTCTACACCATCTAAATCATCATCAAGAGAAATCAGCTCATTCATCTCTGCAGAGGCTTTAAGATTACATATCTGCCAATCTAAATTTCTTATTAATTGTTCATAATTTTCTTTTGTCATAGATATCGTAGGGGCAATAACGAAGTGCAATGCTCCTTGAACATCAGAGGGAAATCGAAGCTTCATTTTATGAGTGTAAAATAAAGCCAATCCTTCAGGAAGAGATGTTCCTTGAGGAATGAAGTAGCAGTGAATATTTTCATTACTGAGACTTTTATTAGGGGTATTGTGAGGACGTCTCAAAGGCACAAAACAGGAGACTCCCTTTGCATTTTTATCATTTATATTATAGTATATTAGATATCCGGGACGTGTATTGTCAAGCTTATAATCTAACCTACAAATTTCTTGATGCATAGCATTGGGACGGTGAACATCCCAAGAAACTTGTGTATAAGTTGAACCTTTTTCCGGTTCTTCTATCGTAATCAGCTCCATTGAAAATCAAGCTCTTACGTGGCCTTATTTTATTATTATAAATTTTTGATTGCCACTGCGCCACAAAATTTCCAATTTCTTCCATGCTATTACTAATCATTAAGTCATGTGACATGTGGTTTTAGGTGTAATAAAAAAATTTCTTATTACGATATTTACATAACCCGGAAAAATACACATATGCATGATCGAAATACCTACTTAGTAACATCCAGGCATGAACCATTTGAGCTTAATGTTGGTCAGCATTAATTTGGTTTCATTTAGATTACCCTGTATAAGTTTAATTTGAATTGTATAAAATGTAAAATGGCTGTGTCAAATATATTACATAGAAATTAGAAAATTTGATCGCCGATGTTACTGCATTAAAAAATTTGCTTAAATAGATTTATGATCATTTTATTATACTTATATGGATATGATCAGAGTCAGGTTCACGATGTGAACTTGACTCTGATCATTATTATTTATACTTTCAAAACGTGATAATCCAAATTCCAAAGTAAAATTTTAAAATGAAAAAACAAATTTTGGAAAATGGATTATATAAACAGTAATGTAAACAAAGTCTATAGTTAGTGCTATTATTAACGTTAATAATTTAATAAATTTTAGCCTAAAGCATACCCAATAAGTCAAAAATCCCATAATAAAAATAAATCATAATTCAATGGAGACGAAATTACTGATTAAGCTATTTAATAAATCATAATATATAATAATAAAATTTAGAAAATAATTATTATCAGTTATGTCATATTAATTCGAAATTTTATTATAATATAATCTTCTCATATTAACAACTTTGTAGTACGAGACTACGAGTTAATAAAATTTCTATATTTAAAAACTAAAATTATATTTTTAATTATTAAGTAATACTAACAACAAAAAAAAAAATTGTGAACACATACGGGAATCTTTGAAATAATAAAAACATACCATCTTCAATTTCAATTCTTTGTCAAATTAATTCTAAAGATTTATAGATGTAGGATTTGTTAGTTTGAAAGCAACCTATATTAATAATATGATTGAACTAAACTTTTTCAATATAGATTAATTTCTTACTTTTATTATGAATAATCATTTAATTTATTATTTTATTATTTATCTAACTTTTATTAAATTATGATTGGTTCTAATTTAATTATTTATATAATGATGCTATTGCAATTAATTGACGGGAGAGTGCTATAAATTTCGCGAAAGTATAGTATATGAAATGTTTTATAAATATAAATATATGATAGTATATAAATTTTAAATTACAATATTCATGGATCAATCAGTGAATTAAAAGCATAATATTCAATTTATATTATATCATGTCTTGGGCAGAATAAACAAATTTATCATGAATGAAAAAACTGCGCCATAAAATTATTTATTTATGATAAGTAAATTTTTTTATAATAATATGATAATATTGAAACTTGTCTTTATTAATAACAAAGTAAAATAACAAATATAAAAGTAAAATAAAAAATTTTACAGAACAATAAAAAATAGTAGTAAACAAATATCAAAATATTACAGGTAAAATATGACAAGTTACAGTAAATTTTAAAATAAGTGAAACTATTAAAACAATTTTCCCAAATCAAATGAAATTTCTCCAAAGGGAAGACTAACACCTATTTCTTTACCAAGTTTAAAACCAATACCTGCAACCTTAGCCTCTACGCCATTGGAGCCAATTGATCCACCAGTGTCAGCACTGAGACCAATTTTTGATTTAAGGCCTCCTACTTCAAGATCTACCAAATCATAACGTGCTTCAACTTTAGCTTTGAGGCCATCAATAGCATTTGCTGCAGCTTTTGCTCCAAGTCCTGCACTTAAAAGTTTAAGATCTCCTACATCATCACAGTATCTGTATGCTGAAGTACCATATTTTGCTTCTGCGGATGCGCCAAACGAATCACTCTTTACTCCAGCTGAGGCTTCGGTGCAAAATAGATGATTGTTACCATCCTGATATGCTCGAATAGATTCTTTATACATCGCGATAATGAAGCTTGGATTATTTTAGTTTTTTTTTTAAGAGTGAAATATTTTTTTTTGAAACTTTTTAGTCTGAAAGGGATTCGGATTTGATATGCCTTTATATAAAAAAATTATCTCATATCGACATTTAGATTGAACCATTTACAACCCGATTTAGTATAATAAAACGTGTTATATTAAATTTTCAAAAATCATTTAAGAACCAATTTAGCATATCAGCTGAACAAACCGTTTAATGATACATTTTTCATCTTCTGATCCAATTTTTGATTACTCATCTGAATAATGTATACATTGTTGACATAGAATGTGTTCTATGCCGTTTTTTCTTAAAAAATTTATACAAATTAAACCTTCTATGAAAAAATCTAAAACCTTTCTTATATTATATACGTAACTATTCTATTAAAACTTTTCATTTATGAAATATTAACATTTAAGAACATTAATTGCATAGTGTGACGGTATATCTATTTGATGGATTTATTTGTAATTATGCAATAAACCACATAAATTTTCTAATTTATCAATCAATTCATTATTACTATAAAAACTTTAACGTTTTTGTTCGTTAATGAATTTTGAACGATAAACCAATCTTAGTATTCATCAAAAAAAATAATTCTTGTTTAGGTTTCAAAAATACAATGTTAAAATTGAACAATAAGATTGCTTCGTAAATTGTATTTGACAGTCTTAAATGATGATTGTCCGGAGCTGAGGCGGATGAATTATACTTTTTAGAAATAAAGTCATCTATTTTATTCATTTCTTAAATTTTTTAAATTGATTTCCAAAAAAAATGACACAAAATATGTATTTCAAATAAGAATCAAAATTTGAAATTTTTTGTAATTTTACGTGGGAATGATTTTTAGACCAGGTTGACCTAGATTTTAAAATAGGATAACAATCTTTTAGCTTGCAGTAATTGATCTAAATTTAACCAAATATGAAAATTAATGATTGAAAGATAGATCGTAATCATGGCGTGTGAATTCGTGATCTACAATTTTAATGGCCTATAATGATATCACCAAATTTATCTAATTTATTGCTATATCAGATATATATACACGCTAGGTAATCTACAAAATCCAATCAGAAAGCTCAAATTGATGGTACCGACTTTTTTGTTTTTGTGTTACATTGCAGTGCGACTCCAATAAAGAATTTAAATAGTTTTTTTTTTTACGTAGTTTATTATAATATACGTTCAGATATGTATATATATATTTTTTTTTAAAAGAAAGAGACGATTTTGAATAAAAGTATTTTACTGCTTTATTATAAAAAATATGTTAAAAAGTATAAGAATTTTTATGTGTAAATTAAATGTTTATACATCGATATAAATAGTAATAACTCGATGTGGCTTTGTAAGGGTCACAATAATTATTTTTTCTTATTTATTTTTAGAAACAAGAGATTAAGAGAGGATTTATTTGATTTGAACCAAAAAAAAAAAATAATGACACAAAAAAAAAAAGTGATGAGTTTATTATTTGTTGTCAATTATTTTTTTTTCAATTTAATATTTCAATATTTAATCATTTTAATTAAAGCAACGTCTCAGCATCGTACTGTAATTAGATTTTTTCATTTATGGCCCGATTTGGAATAACATCAGCAGAATGGATTGTATGTTTTGTCACCTGATTCAATTATATGTGGCTGACTTATCTGACTAATGTGAGAAAAAAATATCGTTAAAAACGTATTTATACTTTTTTTTTTCTTAAATTAGATAGCTAAAACATTTCATATATACATCTGATTGTCCTGTTAGAAATGTTCGTTTGTGAATTATGGACTATATACAACTTGATTTGGAATATGACGAGGCTTTATTTGGAATATCTTTATGAGAATAAATCAGTACTGTACAATTTGTTTACTTTCTAAGAAAATAAACATTGTTGAAGTTCACGTTCGATCACAATTTTAATTTTAATAAAAATTATACTTCTATCAATCAAATCTTTCAGATTTGCGGACCAATCTAAACGATTTATTTCGTCAAGTTAATCTGATAAAGAAAATAAACTTAGTATCCTATTACTGCCCTATTTACTTTAGGTTTTTCACTTAGTTGCTAATTATAGAATTAATCGATAAAGTTATTTTCCCCAGAAATCTTGTGCCATGTTGCTTGTCTTTATTTGTAAATGGTCAAATATTATTTGTAACACATTAATATCGTCAATTTTGGTAATTACCCCAGTCATGGGAAAATCCAAATCTATGGAGTTCGCAAATTTACCACAGCTGGGAAAATGAAAATTTTTTTTAACTATTTTAATTAGTTTAATTAAAAAAAGAAAAAAATGGATTTTTTTTACGTACAGTTCTGATAATAATATGCGAATTGCTGATCGAGTTGCGACAACTAAAGGAAATGATATTTAAATTTTTTAATACAAAATTCATTTTTTTCTTTAATTTTAAAAAAGTATTGTAACAATCAATTTTACAAAAATGTAAACTAAATGTTGCATAATAATTTATAGAAAATACTATATTAATATATCCTTATTAAGTTAACGCTAAGGTTAAAAAACTGCGACCAAAGGCCACAAAATTTGAGTAATAAACTTGCAACTTTTTTAATAAATATAGTACGTACCACTTGTTTAATCGCGTTTAATGATATACAAAATTTAAAAATATTTTACATACTTCAACGGATTAACGATAGTTTTTGATGATTTAAACTTGTGAAAAAATGGATTTTTAATTTATCTATCAAACTATGAGCGTTCTCAAGCACACATCAGAACTAAATAAATAACAAATTGATAAAAGTTTTAATCTAATTGCAGATCTTAAATTACGATAAATATTATTTTGTACTGTACATTCAAAATATCAGCATTGATGGAAACTTATATGAATTCTTCGGAGTCCTATCGATCCGTAATCAATATATATTTTTCCTTATCATGTAATTTAAATATTGAAAAAATTGAAATTATTATCTTGACTTCAATATTCGTCCTACTCCAATTCAGAAATTTCATAATGCAGATTTATCTCATATTTTCAGAGATAAGGACAAAATGAATTGATATACGCCCTACAAAATTTTCAAAATTTTTAGTCACTATCACCTAATACCATATAAGATTTACCACCCTGTTAACTATGCATAAGCAGGGAACCCCAGGACACCTATGTGGCCATCATAGGATCTATGGCAATCTCATATAGTATTTAATAACAACAACTAAGTAAGTGTCATGAGTCATGGCATAGAAATATGTATCATTTACACGGGCACCACGGCCTACCCTCCCATATGGATCGGCTTGGGGATCACCTATGTGGCGTCATTGTAGCTACGACTTGTGCACAAAGCAGATGACTACTAGCCAGTAGCAAATGGTACATACTACAAGCACATAAACCTCTATGTCAATCATAACAATCCACCATCCGGAAGACTTTCTGCGATCCCTCATCCGGTGAACACGTACTCGTACTTCCATCCGGCAACTGTTATTTATACACCATTTAATGATATGACCCAGCCTCATTTAGTGTTAGCTTGTCCTCTATCACAAATAGATACCAAATTTGGCATTATTTTAAATGTACCGTTTCAGTTGATTTGCCTAAAAAATTGAAAGAATCAAATGTGTGATAGACAGCAGAAAACATGTAAAAAAGAACCACAAAGCATCTAAACTGAAAAGAGTAGTTGGAGTGCATGGTTTTTCACTTACAAAACAAGTTTCCAATAGCTAGTGAAACTCATACCCATATGTTATCTAAAGGCAGTTCCGCAAGTAAATACAGTTCTTGATGTTGATATATATATTTTTTCCGCCTTAATATTTATTTACGCATGAAAAAAAAGTATTTATATACGTGTGAGAAAAAAAGTATTTATTCACGTGTGAAAAAAAAGGTATTTATTTGCACGTAAAAAAAGGTACTAATTAGATATTTAATTGAAAAGAAAGTATTTATAAAAAAAGTATTTAGTTGTGTCTAAAGGAGGAGTGAAAGAGATGGGTGTATTAAAAAAAAAAGAAAAAGACTGTATAAATATTATTTTTTTGTTGTACAAGCTTTTTATATAAGTATAAATGATATCAACACGCAACAATATCAAATATGATTATATTGTAGCTTTTAATTACCTAATCATAACGTATTTACCTTCTTTTAGTATGTTTATTGTTGGATCAATGTTTGATTCGTCAGAGTTTTTTAGATATAAATTGCAAATTTATCTATACGAAGATTAAACCAAGGAAGATTATATTACGCAACATCCAGATTATTTTATATTAAAAAAATAGATTACTTTATCGATATAACGATAAATTTTTTGCGTAATATTTAGAAATCGGCATTCGACCTTGAACGAAAATCATTCCATAAACAAATCTCATGACGTCATTATATATGATGATGTGCAACTTTTCATTGGTTTTTTTATTTTGCCGTCAAACCTGTTATTATTCAATATGTTTGATATTTATTATATTTATTGATAATAATATCAAAATGCAAGATACAGAGTATACAAATGAATGGGTTAAGCTGTCAATAAAGAATATTTCAAATTTTATGAATACAAACAATTACAATTTAACAATATGGTACCGGAGGTTTTACAAAAATTTATCGTGCAAATTTGTAAAAAACAGAAAACAATTCGCATTAAAATCTTTGACAACATCAAATTATTCATGAGGTAATTTAACTTAATAATAATAATGTTTTTTCATCTATGATCTTTAGTATAATGGTGTAGTTAGCCGAAAAATTCAGAGTAAATTTTCGGCTAACAACACCCAGCCGAAAAAAATTCATGTTGATCTTAAATATTTTATTGGGTCAACATCTACTATTTTTGGCTGAATATTTTTGGCTAAATACACTTTTTTTTAAATAATAGTGTAGTTAGCCGAAATATCCAAATAGCGATCATTGCTCATGTAACCTCCTAATTCACTTTATTATGGTCAATAGCACCCTCTTCCAATATATAATACATTTGTAAAGTTTAAAATCAATCTAAACTTGTTTAATTGTCTAAATTAATGATTTTCGAATCCATAATTCTGGCCGAAATTTTCTTAATTCTGACCTAAAATTGGTTAAATTTGAAAATTCCAGGTAAAATGTAACATCGTATTTATACAAAATAATCTTCAAACTAAATATTGAATATATAACTTCTTGTCAGTCTCTAAGTGTTTATTAAAATATTTTTTCAAATGCTTTTTGTTTTTTGAGTTGGATCTTAGCTAAAAATTAGTATATTAAAAATAAAAAGAATGCAAAAAACTTGAAATTTGTCAAAGATAGTTGAACACTAGCAAAGGGGCTCAACTTATTCTTTTCTTTTCAACTAATGCTGTACCATCGTGGTATGAATAAGGACAAAAAAAGATTTAAAATAAAATAACCTCTCCCCAGTTTATTCTGTTGTGAAGCACGATTGTTTATAGTAAATTCAGGAAGTGGAACTACTCGTAAAGCTAATGGTGGCTTTCAACATCTTTATTGACCAAGTCTTCTAATTTTTCATATATTGTATTCGTAATAGATTTGTATGTTTCCCAAATCATACTGTACCATTTAATTTTGTTAGAAGGTAAATTGACTTCAAACGCTCTAAATTTAACTATTCCTTTCTTGATATTTTACTGGAATAATAATATTGTGTTTTTGTATTGAAAGGTAATTTTGATTTGCAAAACATTCTTTTACAAAACAATTTTCTGATATAATCATCTATAAATAAAAAAATTACATGTAAATCGAATCCTTTCCAAATCTTAAAAGAATTAAAATAATGAACCATAATTGTATTTAAATAATAGAGGAAGCTTCTTAGAAACAGTACTCATCCAACTTGCATAATCTGTTGCATGTCTAGAATAATATTCCAAAAGGTAACAACAATAATAGTACCTTTAATTTCACGACCTAAATTGTAAAAATAAAAAATAATTAATTAATCCACTTAATGATATATAACCGATAATGCTTAAAAATTATTAATTAATCAATACTTGCTTATACAATTATAGATTGCTAATTCCAAAACATTCTTTATTTCATGCTCTTTGGTGTTGTGAATTTTAGCCTCCTTCTTTTTCCAAAATGTTTTTTTGGTATATGTAACTTATTGGCTTTATTAACATCATCATCATTTCCAAATAATATAAATTTTATCAAATGATCACAATTACCAAGAACCAAATTTTCATAACATTGCGTTATTTGATAAATCTCCATATTATACAATTAATATATGCAACCATTTCCTCACACTTCGTTAAAAAAAAGTAGGAAAATATGTTAATCCAGTTTTTTGTTAAGAAATATATCGAATTCGTAAAATAAATAGTAAGCACTTACGAAATGTTCTTTAGTGTAATTTACAAGAAATTTCTTACGTTTATTGATAAATTCCAATGCTTTACACATATGTCTAACTGCACTAGCTTTATCAAAAATATCTTGCTGTCGAATAATTTTTTCCATTTCAATTACAGTATCACTTCGCTACCTTTTTTCTTTTCCGTTCTCTCCTTTTCCATTCTAATAATTTCAATATCATCTTTTTCTATTTTGAGTTATCTAGTTCATCTTTACTCCTGTCCTTTGAAACTTTTTCATACCAATAAACTTTCAAACAAAAATCGTTTAATTTAAAATCATTTAATTTACTACTATATTTAAATTCTTCAATCCGTATTCTTGTCTTTTCTCTTTCTTGATTTACAGGAATACCATTTATCCATATATATTCAAGAAATGGTTTTCCTTCGTTAGGAAGACTATCTTTGTTTTTATTACCATCTTGGATTTGATGCCAAATTTGAACAGTGGACCTACCAACAATAAGTTGTAAAGTTTCTACTTCTGTCCCTTTTTGGTTATGATAAAGGCAATAAGAATTTCTTTCGTAATCACTTGACACCCATGGTTCTTTGTCGGTAACTATTGGTCCGAAATTAACTTTTTTCTCGTAATGTACAATGTGACTAATATCTGGTTGTCTATTTGATTTTTTACCATATTTTTTAAGTAATTCATTTTCTAGACTTATAGCCTTATTTAATTTTTCCTTTTTCTCTTCTTCCTCTTTTTTTTTAACCTCTTTAAGGACCGATGAAACTTTTTCATCATTATCAATTTGGAAAATATTTCCCGAAGTTCTGGCTAGACGAGTAGCAAGAGTAGCAAGATTATCAAGATTATCTTTCTCAAGATCTTTCTTTAATTCCATCGTTGTTTCAATATCTCTAAAATTATTATACATGTCCCAGATTATGATTTTCAGTTTTTTCTCTTTTTAGATACTACCCACTACAACTAGTTTCTTATCTTCTTCAATGAATTCTAATAAGTGAATTTTTTCAATGCTATCAAATTTCTTTGATGTGGCTTCCAAACCATTTTCCATAAAGTATAACCTTAAGAAATAAACATATTAAATTTTAGTTATTTAATACTTTTATACGAGATTTAATGTGCAATATACATGAATTACTTACTTGACAGATTGAAGCTCTCGTGTAAAGCAGAATAGTTGCTTGTTCTTACTGATCGAGAAATTATTTCTATTATACTTTCTTATAAGTTTATCCTGACTATTTTTGACCCTTATTGTAATAGTATCTAATTTCATTTTTCCTAGGTTATAAACTAGAAAAATTAAAAAAAAAAATAAATTTTATTGTGTATAATGTAATAACAGATTTGTAAAATTTTAAAATTTAATTATTACCTTCAAGTAATTGTACGTTTTCTTTGTAATTTTCAACCAGAAAATATTTAGTATAAATACAAGATGAAATTAGGTTTATGCAATCAGATATTTCTGAAGAATCTAATGCCTCTAATTCACGATCGATACATTGCGTATAACCAAATTTTTTATATAAACTAAAATTATCTTTACATTTAAAACTATATATACCACTGAAATTCAATATTACGAATCTTAAAGTAAAACATTCTTCTATTTTCTGAACTAGGAACTTCATTATTGCTTTTGGACACATGTATAAATTTACATATTCCTGAAATACTATAAATATGATGGAAATCAGTCTTACACTTAGTAGTAATAAAACATAATGGTTTCCTTTTTTAATTTCTAGTCCAACGCGGTAGATGGTGGTCCTAGTTTCTTTTTTTCCCTTTCTTTCTTCTATTTTACTCTTCAGTCCTTCTTATATTATTTATATTATTCATTTATAAATTTTGATTAGGTTGACTGCGGGCAAATTTAGCATGACCCTGTAAGGTATTGTTATTATTTTATTGTTATTGAACAATCACAAAAATCACAATTTATTTTTTTTTTATTTTTGAAATTCCGAAATTCCAAAGAATATGAAAACCCTTTTATTACAGATACTTAGATCATGATTTTTAAAATTATATCATTTTTTTATTTTAAATGAATGTATTTTATTTCGTATTATGTAAAAATAACAATAAACAATATCTGCTCGTAAGTATTGTGATCAAGACAGGTAATCATGTGATTTACACGTATCTGAGCTTCTGAGCTTATTAATCAGATTGTTTTTCGCGTTTCAGTAAAATCTGAAAGTACATGAGTCATTCCAAATAAGTTATGAGTCATTCCGATTTGATTTGAATCTTTTGGTAATTCAGATAACAAAAAAAAATATATAAAAGACCCTACTTCCTCTTTATTATTTCTTTAGTCTTTTCTTTTTAGACTTCACTTTTTTTTCGGTCTTTCTTTTTAGGACTTCTCCCTCTTTTTTTTGGTCTTCATTTTCGGTTTTTTCTTTCTTTCGGTCTTCCCTTTTTTTTAAGAAACCGTCTTCTTTTTTTCTAGGTCTTTTTTTTTTGGTGAAAATTAAGGGCTTGAGGTGCATTTGCGAAATCAATACTTGGGTTTCAAATTTCAATATTAAAGGTATGTTAAACCATTTCCCTTGTTTCTGGTGAAGGTGAACAAGTGGATGCAATGATCAAGGAAGTTACGGCAACCTTGTGAGTCTGGCAGGTCTATCTATGATAACTCTGTTAACTGACGGACCTGGCTGAGAGATACGGATCAGATCTTCTCAGTGTTGAGGTCTACTATTCCACAATCAGGAATAGTTATGTGCCTTCCTCAACTTCTCTCATGCAATAATTTGTTCTCATTGAGGACTTTTGGATTCAGAGAACTGGAAGCACTTCGTGGCCACAGTTTTACTGTGAACGTCCTTCTCTGTTTTCAGAATTTCTGGATGATAATAAATCTTTGTGTGTCCAGGAGAGATGTCAGTGAAAGGACACAATAACCTAAAGCTGTGTTTTTGTAAGTTCTTTCAAACAGATACTTGTAGCTTTACCTTTTATTGTGCATTTTTCAGGAACGGACGGTGAAAATATCGACACTAATATATAGGAAGAAGATCCGAACTACTTCGTTATGTTACTTGATACTTTAGAGGGATACTGCCTCACGTCACCTACCAGATAGCAGGATGAAATTTTTGAGTACTTAGCAAAAGCTAACCATCCCTTTTAATTTATAGATGCTATATGTAAATCACGATGGGTCATATTAATTCTCATTAAAGACCTACGCGTTTGACGCAAAATTTCACTAGAACATATTTCTGCTGTTATTCTACTATTATATTCATTATGATCTCTATGATTTCTTTACTCCATATTACGAATCTATATGAAAAGAAATTAAGTAATTATTATCATTATATATACGTAATACAACTAATATACCGTAAGTCAATATATAATATGTAACTTACCATTATTTTATCTTGAAAATTTCTTCTTAATTCTAATTATTCATGAAAAGTCTAGATTCTTTTTTAAAATTTCTTTTATATTATTAAATGACGATTATAATATTGACGAATAGATGGATGTTTAAGTTGACAAAATTTTTTTCTACAATCAACCCATACCAACACATTCCATCGGGACTTTGCATATGATGTTCAGGCTTATTATTTTTATAACATTTTCTTTTGATATTTTTTGAAAATTTTGAAAATTTTTCTAGTAAATTATCATTAACCACCGCAATATCTGTAACTTTCGGAACCTTATTAACCACAATTTTCGTTTTATTTTTTTTTTTCTTTTCTTTTTTCTTGTTAATTTTATCAACTTTTTTATTTTCTTATTTAGAAATTTTGTTTATCAAATCATTTAATTGACTTCTTGCATCATTAATTCTATTTTTAAATGGAGGAATTTCTTTTTTATTGTTACATAAATTTTAATTTGTGCTGGAATTTTATTTGTATCAACGTGGATGTGTGTACCAGTTCTTTCTGCAATGGGTTTTATATTACGACCAATTAATTTACCAATTAAAATATTTTGAGGAATTGGAATAGTTAAAGTTCTTGTATATTTGGAGTTTTGCATTTTTATTTTTTTTTAATGAAGAGAGTAAGTGAGAGAAAGAATGGTTTTTAAATTTTTTTTATTAGGAAATTAATTTCCATATTCGTAAACAAAAAAAAATGCGTGTAACACCTCATGACCTCGAAAGCCTTTCGGCACAATATATTAACCATGTGGTAAGTACGCAAAAATTACCTTTTTGACCCTCCTCGTGCTACTTTTTTGACCCGATCAAAATATGCAAGTTTATGTGTGACAAAATTATATTTTTTTTGACCCGAAATGTGATAATTAGTTATGTGATAAATTAGCATTTAGCAATGACATAATATTATATAAGTAATATAACGTGACTTTCTTTTTGAACACCAACGCGTTATAATCTCGTTCGTTCACTTTATTTGTAATTTGTATACTATATCCAACGCGTTATAATAACGTTCATTCACTTTATTTACTTGTAATTTGTATACTGTATACAGTATTTCCTACTTTTAATTTTTATATTATAATGAATAGTAATAGCTTCGAAAATTTTATTCAGTATAATACTGCTGAAAATTCTGTTAGTGTTCCATTTGGTCGTGTTGCAGAATATTATCTTAAGAACCACCCTTTGCTTAAAAATATTCGTTTAAAAAGTCAGAGCCGAAAAAAAACCCCTGAATTAATTAAAGAAGAGCTTATTTTAGTTGAACGTGTTGAGGGAGCTGTTGACTTTATTGAATGGAGAACAAAAACTGGTCAAACAAAGTCAACAAATCGAATTGATGACATAATCAAATTAACAGAAAAAGGCGAAGAATTAGTTAGACAAATTGAAGCAGGTGTAAAAAAAGATAAATTATGTTGGCAATGGGTGATGTATTGTGCGGGAGATGGTAATTCTTGTCAACGTGAATGTGGTGAAATTGGCAAGTGTATGGAAGGTTGCCAAAATGAAATGTTACCAAATAATCTAAAAAATGGTAACGATATGCATCTTTGTAAACTGCGAATTGTTTCAGAAGTATATTTGTCTCAAATCAATAATTCAAATCCCCTTAAAATAAAAGTATTAAATTCTCATTTGTCATCTAATATTCTTATGACTCATACACCACAAATTGATCGGTTGAGTTTAACTCGGCAAGTACGTGATAATATCATAATTAATCGTAGAGCAGATCACAAAACAACTAAAAATATTAAAGCTAAAATGTTAGCTCCGTACAATGGTGCAAATGAAGAAGTTTTACGAGAAGCATTACATAATCAAAAAGAAATATGTGATGATAAAAAATTGTATAGATTTTTAATACGTGATGATAGACGGACTAAAGAAAGTACAGGTCCATGGACAATCTTGCATTATTTAATTAATGAAATCCTTAAACCAAAAGGATATATTCTTTATTATCAACAACCTGATTTATCTGCAGAAACAAGTTCTGAGCATTTTTATCAATTAACATTATCAGACCAATTATGGTTAAAAAATGCTCAAAGGTATGGAAGACACTGTATTGGAGTTGATAGTAAGTACGATTTAAACAATGATCGTGCACCAGTACTTGCAATTGTAGCTGAAAATAGTGCAGGGTTTGGCACTCCATTGGCATTTGGTAAGAATTAAATCATCTAATTTACCTTTAAGTTTAGAATATAAAGTATATTTTTTATTTAGGTTTATCTAATAAGGAAAATAATTGGACGACCAGTATTGCATTAATGTCATTAAAAAATAATGTACCATGCAATAATCCAGACTGCGAACATAAATGGTATTATGAGGATTTACCAAATGGAAAGGGTTTTAAAAGAATTACAGAATGTGCAAAAAATCATAGTTGGATTCCATTGGTAATGATGGATAAACATCGACCTACTAAAATAGCCACTGAAAAGGTATTGGATCGTACGATCTTATGCTGGTTTCATGTTATGCAAACATTTGGCGAAAATTTAAATAATTGGAATATATCATGGCCATTACGGTAAATATACTATACTGATTGTTGTTTAGCATATAAATTAAAGAAAATAAAAGAAAAGCATGTAATTTTTAGATTTACATTTCTTATAGATACCCAATTGCATTAGCATTTAAAATAATTGGAAGAAGTAGGTCAGTAGATTTAGCTAAAGAACTAGGGTTACTATATGTAAACTTTATCAATTCACTAGATCTTAAACAGGATTTGAAAAATAAATTAATTAAAGATTTGAATAATAACTGGATTTGTGATGAATGGATTTTAAGTTTTATTGATGCGGGAAGGATTCTTGAAAGTACAACGCATATAATGACCACAAATAATTATACAGAAAGGTTAAATCGTACAATTGAATCTCAATACAGTGGCACTAAAACAGTAGTTAATTTTGTTGAAAGATTATATGGTATTCGGCTATTTCGGGAAAATTTAACAAATGAATGTGGTCAGTCAAACTTTGAAGCTGGACTTGCAACAGTATTTGATATGCAAACAATTGAACAGGTATGTATAATATTATTTTATGTTATAATATTTGTTTATATTTATTATTAATTTATTTTGGATAGGAAACGCAAGCCGCACATCTAGCATCAGACAAATTGCGTAGATTAAATCATGGGAAACTATTATTCCTGTTAGGTTATGTTGAATTTGCTGGTGTTGATAATTATTTTTACTTAAAAAAAGGAAATTATCCTTTTACAATAGAAACATCGTATAATGATGAATTAATTAACTTGGATCGTAATGGTTTGAATTTATTAATGCCATTACATAATAAATTAATGGAACAGCATTTAAGCAAGGTTCCAAATCATCATGATCATTCCGAATATTACTTAATTAACATAAAGACTGGAGAATGTACGTGTTTTGATTATATCTGGAACGGACCTTTTAGAGATACTTGCAAGCATTGTCATGCTGCATTAATTTATCAAGAAGCAATCAAGTCTTCCGATATGTTACTTTTTAAACAAGAGATTAAAAAGGAATTAGTACAATATTTTAAAAATAAGCAGAGAGTATTGCCCGTGGAATCAAAAAATATTTCAATATACAATGAAGACATCGAAACTGCTTACTTGGAAATTGTTAATTTATATAACACAAATGGTAATTGATAATCTTATTTGCTTATTTATTATACATACAATAATCTGATTAATGTTATTTTAGGTTTGGCAATATTCAAATCATATTCCCGACCAAATGAAAATAATAATGATCCATTTCGGCCTGTAGAACTAAATAATTATAAAAGTAACAATGGGGCTCCTCCAAAATCATCGGCAAAACCAAGAAAACCAAGTAGAATCCTTAAAGATACTGATCGGAATACACCATTTTCTGAACAAACAAGAAGCACAAAAAGAATTAGGAAAAATATTCGTAATGCTAAGGTATTATAAATTAATGTAATTATTAATCATAATGCTGTTCTTTTCTAACAAAATTTTATTTAGGAAAACATTAAAGGCATAGAAAATCCATATGAACCTTTAATTACATCACCCTTTCAAAATGCTCAACCAACAATTATGCAATCTTATTCGCAAAATAATTATATCCACTCTTTATTACCCATTTCACAATCAATACAAACTCCTATAGATTCTTCTTATGTATATCCTACAAATTTACCAATTTCGTTTCCTAGCACTACACCATACTATTCAAATTCTTCAGTGCAATTAAATAATTGCCCACCAACCCAAAATTCATATTCTTTTACGCCATACCTTGCAAATGTTAACTCCTATTCTGAATCTACACATAATAATATGACGTCCAGTACACCTATGCCAAATTTTTCAAGTTCTGATAGTAGACAACAAGAAAATAGACTATATTATTATGTTTAAATAGAGAAATCTTCAATAAATTTATTGTAATAAAGTTTTTTTCGTAGTGTATTTAAAAAAAAAAATTTTTTTTGGTAGCGCCTGTTAGCCTGTAACACGTTTCATCGCTAATTTATCACATAACTAATTATCACATTTCGGGTCAAAAAAAATATAATTTTGTCACACATAAACTTGCATATTTTGATCGGGTCAAAAAAGTAGCACGAGGAGGGTCAAAAAGGTAATTTTTGCGGTAAGTACTGAAGTATATCATGAGTTCAATCTTACGTCATGAGATCGTCAACAATTACTAGACATTTATTACTTATTGTTATTAAAATAAACGGATATATATAATTAATAATAAAATTAAATAAATGAATAAATGACTAAAAAATATATATATATTGTATATTTATATAAATGATAATTTGTATTTAATCGCAATATCTGTTTCGTGGCTAAATATTAATTGACAAAAAAATATTTTAATTATCAAATAAAAAAAAATATTAACAAATTTATATATTGTTAAAATATTTTACTTGTCGTGAATTTGTTGCATAAGAGGTTTCTTGATTAAAATTATTTCTTCTTTCCTTCGAATCAAGATCTCTCTGATTTCTTGGTGGTGTTTTTGGTGGTACGTGTTGATGATTATCGTCATCCGAAAATCTAACTTTCTTTTCTTCTTTTTTTGTAAGATCTTCTACTAATTGCATCATTTGATAAATTGCTTCCTTGATCCTCTTGTCAGATGAATCATTTTCTACTTTAACTTTAATTTTAATTATTACTAGCTCTTCATTTTCTTTTTTGTCCACGTGAATGTTTGTACCAGTTCTCGTAGCAATGGGTTTTAAATTACATCCTTTATGACCAATTAATTTACCAACATCAACAGGGTTGGTAATTTCAATAGCGGTATAAACCTTAAAGGAGCTTTGGTTTTCCATCTTTGAAAAGAATATGTGAAATGATTTATTGTTTATTATTATTATTATTATTTTTAGGAAAAAATATTTTTTTGGTTTGAACAATATGAACGCCAAGGGGGATTATTTATAATTTTGAAGCTAACGCCAAAATTTCCTTTTTAACGAATAAAAGGAGTTTACAAACAAAAGCAAATTTTTTATTAAATATAAATTTTATTAACAAAAACCATAAAAAATAGGGATGATCGGACACTGTTTTCTAGATCATCGGATGAATTTTTTGTCTTTGTTACCAAAACTCATGCATATCATACACGTGATAATCTCCTCATTTCGTTATTGGATTTTATGTTTGATATATTCGAATCAGTTTTTTCAGCAATGGGTTTTAGGTTACGTCCTTCACGACAAATTAATTTTTGGAGGAATAAATGAATTATTTTTAATATACTCATTTCAAAAGAAAAAAATTATAATAATTTATACAATTTATTATTATAATTTTTTTTTCTAGTTCTGAAATTTTAATATTTTAATAACAAAAAAAAAAAACATTTTTAAATAATTTTACGCAAATATAAAATTTTCATTATTAAAAATGATATTTAAATGAAATTAATTTAACCTAACCTTAACCCTAACCCTAACCCTAACGAACAAATAAAATTGATTTAAATTAAAGGGATGACTTTTACAATATTATTTCAGTATATTAGTATCATTATATTTACAGAAATTTGTTTAGGACAATTCATAAAATGATACTATAAAAGACTTATTATTACTCGCTATGAAACCGATATGATGAAAGCAGTATATAATTCGGTGATGAACGATAGATTTAAAAATCTTTAAAATAAGTATAAATTCTATTCTACGTAGTTTTTAGTAATGTCTCAAACATAAATTACTTTTTAAAAACAAATTTCAATTTGTTGGTAACCTTTATTTTACGGGTATGCGCATATTTTATTTTGCGGAAGTAACAATTTGCAAAAAGACAAATAAGTTTAGCTAATAGTCTTTAAGAAGATCGTGCTAAGTAGTACATAATATTTGTATAATATTAAAATTACAATTTTCTAATATTTATTTCGATTTTACATTGACAGTATATTTCAATAATGTGTATGCAAAAAGTTGATATAACTCAAATCTATAAATATTAAAATATACAGCTCAAACTTGCAAATCTTTTATTTGAGGCCGTTCCAACTTGATTGTTTTTTTAACGTACCCACCTTTTTATTTTTTAAAAAATCTGAATTTTGATAAATATATAATGACACATATGTTTAAATGCCAATCTAAATTTAAGTTACGATTTTTTGAAATTTCCCGAATTTTCCAAAGTTTTATTCATTTAATTTGTTTAATTAAAACTCCCTCCCCCCTCAAACTATTCAGAAAATCTAGACGTTAAACAAACAATCTGCGTTCTGCTAATTTACTAGAAAGTTAATTACATGACTTAATTTAAAAAAAGGTTGGACATTCCAAAAACACTAAACGAACATGTCTCATTCCAAATTTGAGTAACATCTATTTGAACGCAGATGTATGTATTCTATTTTAATAGATACAGTGTTTTACATAAGATTACGTGTCATGACAGAATAAAATTGCTTTTTATTTAGAAAACTGAAATCATGACATATTAAGAAAGAACATTCACGTAATATTTTAAACAAGACGAAAGAATATTTTCTTTGTTTTAAATTCCATTAATTAATATTCACAAAATTTAATTATAAAGTTATTACCATGTATCAACCCTGTAAAAAAATTTTTCAGGAAATGATCACATGTCTAAGTTTCTCCGGAATAAAAACCATTTTTTTCATTTTATTAAACGAATAATTAACAGGGGTCAGTTACTTATGACTAGGGCTATATTAAAAGTAATTGTCCGGAGCGAATGCGAAGGACTATATATGTCTACGCACTATGAAAAATGGTCGATCACGTGTCCCGGAATTCCAAGGCGTTATGCTCCCTATAAAAAATTTCTCAGAAAATGATCATTTTTTTTTTATTTTATTTTTAAAATATAGACTCGACTGGGGTCGAACGCTAAATAAGAATAAACATGATTTAAAAAAACAATAAATTCTAAGCTAATGATAAACCCAACCTCTCGGGAGAAGCCCGAAGGGGTCGTCTTGCCTCTTATTCAATAGAACAATCAGGCATAACCGGGAGTCTAGAAAGTCGATCACAAAAAAAAAAGATTTATATGATCCGTATTTTTCTTTCAACTACAAGAGTCGCCACCTGTAAATACTGTCATAGGTGGAATGGTTAACACTATTTTAAATTGTAAAAAGGAAATTATTGTAATGCATCTGAGATGCTAAATACGGTCAAAATAAAATGTAAATAAGATTCAATACATTAATTTGAAGACCTAAATTACTAGGGAATCGAAATAATAAACTACTAGTAAAAAATAAAAAAAAATTTTAATCGAAAGGTCAAAGCTCCAAATATAAGGAGACATCCTAATTTAAAGGAAAAGTGAACATCGAACCAAGTTGGTGTCCGTGTAATTATCTTGTAATAGAGCACACAACTAGAAACCATAAGGTTTCTGGAACCCATCCGTTGTATATACGGGGGGGTAAGGAGTCGAGTTGAATAGGTCAAGCGTCACCATTGGTATAACGGCAGGTGGAGATATAATATTCTCTGTTGAATCCAAATCGTTTGAATCAGCGGTTATATAACCATCAGATGATGATGAAGCCTCGTTAAAACTTTGAGGTGAAGGGAAAAGGGTTGGTTTGGTTGAAGTGGAAAGAGTATCCAACTCTGAAAAATCAAATACTGTAATCGGTATTTGTTTGGGTGTTGAAATTGGCTCCTTAGAGCCTTGGGGTGATAGGGTAAGTTCCGGTTTGGGTGAACTGGTTGAATTTTCCAATATGGAAGAATCATCAACTATAAGTGGTATGTTTCGGGATGATGGAACCGACGATGTTACCATTTCCGCAGGAGAATCTGTCAGCTGTGGAGGAACAGAAGTTTTCCAACTCATGTTGGACAAGTGGGTTTGTGCCGAGTCATAACTCGCGGCTGAAGATATATCAACTTCAGAAAAACACGGTGGTTGTATAGAATGTGTGAGTTGTGTTTGGCGAATATGATTTGACATTTGCCGTCGCTGATCGAATTTCTTCATGAAATCAAAATGCTCGTCGTATTTCTTGAGCATTGGAAGGGTATGTGTATCCCGAGGGTCTAAGGTGGTATTATAAAATGTCGAGGGGGGTGGTAAGTATCTCTGTTTATGTATGACCTGGGGTGAGAAGGGATTAACCTTCCGGGGCGAAGTACCATCCAATTGGACTTTTTTAGTACTATGAATAGGTATAGGGAATGAATAGTTTTCTCGGCGAGGGTTACACTCATTATATTTCAAGTGTCGGATGGGTGTGTTGATATGTTGAGGGTAAAAAAAAAGGAATTTATGTCGATTAGCAACAGCTAAACGATCATTAATCTCATAACCATCCGCCGGGTGTAATTTGTTTATTTTCCCATAGTGTGGGTGTAAGAAAATGATCACATGTCTTAGTTTCTGCTAATCAGTAGAAAAATTGCGATCACGTGAGTTTCTCTGTCCAGGAACTCCAAGGCGTTATGCTGCTAATTAGTAGAAATCGCTACCATTCTTGATATATGTTAATATCTTTATTTATTATGATACTTCGCTCCGGACTTACAACGGTTCCCGTTTCCTAGTATTATAATATCAGAAAAACATTTATTGATTCATTTTAAAAGTAATATTACAATTATTAAAAGTATTTCCTTGTAATAATAAATCAGTATTCAGAATAAAAGAAAAAGAAAATGTAACTTCATTAATTTTGGCTGAAGTTATAAATTTGCCAGAATTACTGTAAAATAAGAACGTCCGAATAATATTTTAATTTAGCAATTTTAACATCAATAGAAAAGACAATACATTAATATAACTATCAAATTCTTTACATAATTCTTTAAAAGTTTTCTCAATACTTTTTCACTTTAGTATATTTTATTCTTTTGAGAAATTTCCAATATAAATTTTTTAATTCGTGTTATAATATCGAATAATTTTATAAACGTATATAATTTGTTTTAATAAAAAAAAAATTCTTCGCTATCTTTCTTTTTTCTCTAAAATCTCGTGCTGATTATTATGCAGCACGAATTCTTTTTTTTTTTTAAATATTTCACAAGTTCGTTTATTGTGTTCAGCAGCTTCTACTAATTCGATGGTTTCGTTAAAAAAATTTCCAATATCATTAATTAAAAAAAGAAAATTTGAATCAGAATGAATCCAATCATGGAAAGAACCAAAGCAAAAACTATATCTCCAGAGAAATCATCCTTTTTATTCTTTCTTGATCTTCCTAATTCATACAACTCTGTGCTTTTCCATCCAAAAGCATCTTCTAATTCACCCAAAATGTCACCCAAATACTTCGATTCTGTTATTTGCGATGCTGGAGTATTAACGTTCATTTGAGCGAGGGCAGAAAACACTATGTAAGCACGAGACTCATACTGAATAAGATCTTCAAAAGATGGTTTATTCAATGCGATCCATGTATGAATGTCATTTGCATGAAAACGGTCCATGGCATACGATGTCTGTGCATGCCAAATTTCCATAAGCCAATATAGCTTTTTCATTCGGAAATCTTCTACACCATATAAATCGTTACCAAAAGAAATCAGCTCATTCATCCTCTCCGCGGAGGCTCTAAGAGTACATGACTTCCAATCTAAATTTCTTATTAATTGTTCGTAATTTTCATTTGTCATAGGTATCGTAGGCGCAATAACGAAGTGCAATGCTCCTTGAAAATCAGGGGGAAATCGAAGCTTCATTTTATGAGTGTAAAAAAGAGCCAATCCCTCAGGAAGAGACGTTCCTCGAGGAAGGAAGTAACAGGGAGTATTTTCTTCACTGATACCTTCATTCGGCGCAAAACAGGAAACTCCCTTTGCATGCCTATCACCGACATTATAGTATCTTAGATATCCGGGACGTGTCTTGTCAAGCCTGTAATCTGCCCAATAAAGTTCTTGAAGTATAGCATTGGGACGGTGAACTTCCCAAGGAACTTGTGTAAAAGTCGAGCCTATTTCCGGTTCTTCTATCGTAAACATTTCTTCTGTTGTATACAGTTCTTCTATCGTATACAGTTCTTTTTCTGTATACAGTTCTTCTTCTGTATACAGTTCTTCTTCCGTATACAGTTCTTCTTCTTTATACAGTTCTTCTTCTGCATACAGTTCTTCTTCCGTAAACAGTTCTTCTTCTGTATATAGTTCTTCCATTGAAAAACAAGGTCTCACGTAATTCGTAATTCATATTTATTATATTTATTGTAAATTCTTGATTGGCACTGCGCCACAAAATTTCTAATTTCTTCCATGCTATTACTAATGATTGACGTTATCGGGGCCAACGTAACCATCAAAAAATCATCAAAAAAATCTCAATAAGTACTGAACTTGGGAATTATCATTCAATCTTTTCATCTGATGTACAGTATCTTCATATTCAATTTCCATTTCTTTCAAATTGTACAATTGTCAATCCGTTAATTAATCGGATAAACGGATATTGGGTTTATCCAAAAATCTGCATTACCAAACTAAGTTTAAATTAGATGACTATCCCACAGTATAATCCGGTAAATCATCGATCGACCCAAGTTAATAAAATCGGATAATCGGATAATTGGACAATTATGGTCTGTGGTTGGTTATCTAATATGATGATGATTTAAATTAGTTTGATAACGCAGATATTTGGATAATCCAATATCCGTTTATCCGATTGAAAAATCAAGTTGTTGTAAATATTCTTGTACCTTATTTGCTTCTGGTAAATTGTTAATAATATATTTCAATCCTTCAAAATTAGATTTTTCTATATCTTCTGTAGAATCCATATCATTTATATTATTCACATCCTCACTTGTAAAAAAATGTCAGTTTTAAACCAACAAATCCGAATATCATGATGTAGCAATATAATTAACACTTTAATATTTTTAAAACTTATTCTTAAAAAAACATTACTTGGAAAATCTCATAAATTTTAGGCGTTAAATGTAAATTAAAAATCAAATTTAACTTTTCACAATATATTCGCCTATCTTTAAATGTTATAATATCTTACCAAATATGTCATAGTGTATTTATTAAAACTTAATACTTGTAAAATAAAGTTTTGGAAATTTTGAACAATATTTTAAACGATTTTACAATTTTTTTGCGCTAATAAATCACGTTATAAATGAAGTTAATTGCCAAATCAAATTCTCGCATATACTTGGACTTAAAGCTATGAATAATCCCTGCATCCATATGCTGAAGATGAGCCGTTGTATTAGGAGGAGAAGAAATAAGCTTAATATTAGTAAGTTTAATATCAGGCTTTTCTCTGTTAATTTTTTTTTTGTTTGTTCTCTACGTCTTTTTTTTTTGCTTTGAAGCTGAATGAGATGATTCAGGTACCACTTCTTCACTAATATTATCATCATCTACCTCTTCTTCAGAATCATCAGCTTTCATCAAGTATTTTTGGATTAAAATGAGCGTTATCAATAATCGATCCATTGTGTGAAACCAGGTTGAAGCCACTCACGTTATCCAGTCGGTACAGTAAGTTGTAGGAAGTGCTGGTTTGTTTAACATTTTAAGACAACGTGGATTAGGTGATTTCCAATCACTAAAGGGGAACTTAACGAAATGTTTTAATGTTTTTAATGTTTTTTTTAGAGGAGGTTATCAATTTTTTTTTTAAAAGAATTAATGAAACTTTTTAATATAAATAAAGTTTTTTTTTGGTTTTTTGACGAAAAAAAAAATATTATTTTATTTTTATTTTTTTTTTTTTTTTTTTTTTTTTTTTTTTTAAAAAAAAAGATTGTCGATATTTTTTTTTTAAAAAAAGGATGACGATATTTTTGTTTAAAAAAAAGTGACAAAATATTCTAAAAAAAAAATAAAAAGTTGATGAAAATATTTTTAAGAAAAAAAACGATTTTTTATAAAAAAAAGGTGACGAAGCAAATTATTATTTTTTTTTAAAAAAATGGAAATAACTTAATTTTTCTCGTCCGGATATTCGGATACTTTACCCGTACTAAAAGTTTGATTTGGTACCATCAAGAAAAATAAGTCTGTTTCATCCGTTTATAAATATCTTCTCTATCAAAACTTGATAAAAGCCTCTACAATCACGAACATTCTCCAGGTAAAATGTACAGTAGCTAGCGGGCACTATTTTATATATACCCTCTTGCAACATTATATCACATAAAGGAATGTCAGCAGTTACAGCCTGTCTGAAATGTTTGAGTATTGGTAAGGACTTGTAAGCCATTTACTTCGGATTTATGATGCGAATAACCGATTAATATTGTAGACAGGGTATCAGCCTACTTTATATTTGGATTAGCTCGTATATATCCACATATTTCTTTTTTTTTGCACCAAAGCTAATTGACATTTAATAAAGAAATTGAAAAAAGATAGGTATCTTATAGGAAACTCAAATACATTTATTTATTAACAGTTAAGTTACTACATGAATTTCGTTGTTTTAACTAACTTAGATGTAATTCGTGATTTTTACTATTCATATAAATTGATATAGTTCAAACTTATCAAATCCAAAAATTTTTGATTATAATTTATCACGCATGATTTTACCGACTATCGTATCATCGTTCTTATTATTCAGAAAAAACCAGTTACATATTTTATTTCGAGTCCTGGTTAATTTAGTTTCGGACTCGAATTTAACTTGATCTCAGTAATATTTACTAATAAATAATATCGATATACGTGTATGTTGAGAAAATATTCTACATTAAGAACCTTTTTTGTGATTATTATATATAATACTTTTTTTATTTTGAAAAAAAAAAAAAAAAAACTGAACGAATTCAGTATAATTAGATCTGCGCTTGTTTATACTATGGCAAGCCGTACTAAGTCAAAAGGTTGATAACTTTTTATCATGTTTTATGATGATTTTTCATCATGTTTCATGATAACTTTTCATCATGTTTCATGATGACTTTTCATCATGTTTTATGATAACTTTTTATCATGTTGACATGATGACTTTTCATCATGTTGATCATATTTTTCATGATGTTTTTCACCATGTGACATGAAATTTTTTCATCATGTGTTGAATAATCTTCATCATGTTTCCTAATATGAAATTTTAACTAACCAAAAATGTCTTGCCAAACTACTGGTTTTTTGATGTTCAGATTTAGAAAATAAGAATTTTTTTTTTTACAAACTTAGAAATTTACCGATTTTCTGGTATTTTGCCATTACACAAATATATATCACATAAAAAATTTTATCACATCAC